GGAATTATTTGTGTCGGCTCATAATTTTTAATTTGCAAAGATTATTATACATTACAACTTCGTACAACTTCCACCTGAACGCAAAGATAAAGAAGACATCGACGAAAATGAACTTTTGGATTTTGGGCTACTTCAGCATGTTCCAGATTTGGTCGATCTTCATGTACCTATCGAAATGAAACTTAACAAGTATATAGCTGAAAACAAGATTTCAAAGAACTGGTGAAAAAGGATGTAAAAGGATGGAAATAAAGAACAAAACGGACAAAAGGTTGATTGCACTATCTACAGAAATTCAGAAAGTGTCTAGTTGAGTGTTCAGTTAGTTGAGGGTGAACAGCTTTTTGATAAAATAAATTATTGGATTGATCGTATCACAAGAAGAATGGATGTACCAATATGAAGACATTCGACAAGTGTAATAGATTGTTGAGACAAATACGTGTCCTAAAAACATGACGTGAAATGTAAATGGTGACTTTAAAATTCATCCTCTGATTGATAAACAATTTTGTAAAACTTTCGTTTTTCCGATGGAGTCAGTATTAATGAACAGATTTTTTGTTGAGCACTCGTAAAGTTTCGTTTCATATAATTGACTTTATGCTGTCCTGAAACTGGTTACTGTTTTCAAATAAAACCTGAGTTGCGGCTGTCAGCGTTATACTACACTCTAAAAATTATAAATTTTATTTTCAACTATTTTACGAGCTTTAACATGCTGTGGCACCTGACAGAGATGCCCATAAACGTAACTGGGACATTTCAATGCAACAGATATTACATTTCTTCAACGACACAAATGTGAGAAAAAAATTCGTAAAGTGCAATATAATATTCTAATAATATAATATATAATATTCTTTATTGATAAAATTTTTATATTATTAACATGAATTATTTAGAAAATGAAAACTTTTTTAGCTCTCACTTTAATTTAGCTTATAAATTAACTTAAATTAGGTTCTTAATAAAAGAACCGATTTTTTAAAGTTAAGAATCCTGTCTAACACCGTTATTTATAATTTTAATAAATATCATAGTATTTTTTTGTATTTTATTAATGATCTATAATGGCTATTCTATTTTATAAGATGTTTAATTGAAGCTTTCCAGCAAAAAACATTGTAAACAAATCATGATACAATACAGCGTAAAAAACGTTTTTACAGCAAAATAATAACGCACCGTTGAAAAATGTTTTTTACTGTTTTTGTAAACGTTTACAGAGTGTTTTTGTAGACCAATTTAGTTTATTTGACCGAACTAAAACCGCGCTATCAAATGTTAACAAAGTTTTAAAACCTACCGCAACCAATTTAATTCTTGTAGCTTAATTGATTTACAAAATTGTTACGTTAACGTTTATAAAAAATAGTGAATCACACATTTTCATATTATGTTATAACTTTACAGTTTTTTATGCTATGTTAAAACGAATTTGCATCTTATGCGCTAAGCAATGGTTCAATGGTAAAAAGTAGTTAAATTCAATAAAGGTTTATATTTGGTGCGGAAGAGTTTAATGATGACATACATACTGAAGTAGTTAAGGCAGAAAAATCGCTTGAAAACGAAATAGGAAATTTTATGGAAAGAAATTAGGCACGTGAATCATTTGAACACCATACCTTGTTATTTTTTCTCTTCTGAATTTTTGGTTATTTTAAGTTTGACATTAGTATTTTATTTATTTCCTATAAATTAATAAATCACAACCTATGTTAACACATTCGCTGCGGTCAAATACTTTCAGGAATCGATATTTTTACGTTACGGAAAAAATTTTTATAACAACCAGTATATTTCTTTCTTTTCGTATTTTTTGGTCCTGACTGACTTTGTGAATGCATTTGTTTTGGAATACGGGATCTCGCAACATCTACATCTGATTCAGCAAAATCTTTGGCAAGACTAATGCGAAAATGTAATATTGAGTTATTTTTCGAGAAATACGGTGTTGTAAATTATCCAGGAATTTGTTACAACGCAACCAAATAGAATTTCTGTAGCTACTTTCCTATACCATTTATACCCTTTTCTGAGACGGGTTTGGTGTGATGATCGCTGAAGTAAAAAAGATTTTATAAAAAAGTGACGAAATTAAAAATATTTAATGATGTATGGTGATTCACTTTTTAGTTTCTGCAAGAGTTACGTTGTGGATAAGTTGTTAAGATCGGAATCTATTCATTTTATAGCTATCGTATAACTACCAACACCATAACAAAGTTTCATCAATACATTAATAATGTCTTTAGCATGTCCTAGTCCACTGATTATGTCTCATTTCTCTTCTGGCTTCTAAAGCTCCTTCATTTGCTTACGGGTCTTTAGGTTGTTTAATGCTGCTTTCAAATAACCATTAGATTTTACCATTAAATTTTCATGTTTTCATTCGAAATGTCTTTTAAGTAAAATGGGTTTCATATATTGATTGAGGAACCTAGGATTTGATCCACTTTTGTTAGAAATATGTTTATGCAATTAAATGTAATAAAATCTTCGGGTACCACTACGACAACAGTCAAGTACCATCAATGGTACGCGTACTACAGGTTAAGAATCGCTGGTCTAAAGCCTAAGCCACTTCGTCAGTCATCAATAATCAATGTTTCTGAAACTTATAACTGGTTAAGAAAACCAGAAACGTAAAACTTGTTTTAGTCTATTTCTATATGCGGATGAGTCATACTTAATCCGTAAAGAATTGTCCTGTACCAAGGTTATTCAACTTAGCACAATTATTTTTTAATGGAGAAGATAATTAGAAAACATAGTAAGTACAAAGTTATAGTGTTCGACATTTATAAAAAGAACAACGTTACTTGCCCCGCAATTCAATAAATCTCCTGTCTCGTTACCGTTTGTTTTTAACTAATTTTTTAATGTAGTTACTACGAAATATTTCCGCAAAAAGTACTGTTAGAAGTCTCCACTAACTTATTGTTTGTGAATTATTATCTTTTCTAGAACATCGTTAAAATCCCTGATAATTACTTAGTTTCTGACACCGGTTGGGTTGCTTTTATGGAAATGTATTTGAGTAGAAATATTAAATTTTTTATTACTTTTCCTGTGTGTTAGCGGTAATATACTTTACCAGGTTGCACTTTTACAAGTCTGAATATTTGATGGAGTTAGCCTTCTCTAAATATACTATATTTTCCATGTGCAGAGTATACTGATTAAATATTTATGGCAGAAACAAGACGTGAAGTATTGTATAATTTATAATAAAATTTATTTATTTACTATATATACTTTAAAGCACCGAAGTATTTTATAAAACGTGTTGTTGAGAGGTAAATAAAAACTACTTATTATTTTGACATGGTTCGCGACATTTCTTGGGTTTGATGAATGACAAATATAATTTCAGAATTCCAATCATTTTCAGCGAGTTTCATATAATTTTTAAGAACTTGCACTAAAAGATAGAGATAGATTTTAGTTCTCAATAGAAATTCTAAACTAATTACATTAAAGTTTCATCTTTAAGCCTTAATTTCACAAAATGTATTTCAAGTTTATTTGAGAAGTACGCCTAGTAGTAAGTGTGAAATATGTATCAAATTAGCTTAACTAGGTGTGAGGTAAAATTTGATTAAAACGTACTAGGAAAATTCAATTTTCAAACCCTTCTTGGCTAATGGCAGAGTTTCTGAAAGTTTTAACTCTGAAATCCCGCATCGTAAGCTAGTCTTCGACGCGAGACGATCGAAACGCTTTTATTTTGCTTTTTTTTTCCTTTAGTAAATCCACCAGCGATCCTGATAGCTTTATAATGAAACTTTTTGTGTTAAATGATCCTACAAAACCGATATAATTATCTCGATCAGAAAGACACCGCATTTTTGTTGCTGACACAAGAAATTTAAATTTTACAAAGAACATTTTAATGAGAGTTTTAAACAAGAATATTGAAATTTGTCGATGAAGCGAACAAATGACATTTTGTTTTAACGAGTGAAAACTAAACGAGTTCGTGATAAAATTATATTTACGAGCGGGCTGAAAGTTTTGAGTTGAGTTGTTAATGCATTTTGTAAATTTAAGTTAAATTGCAGGATGCTACTTGTTAAGAGTTGAAATATGTTAAAAAAAAGGAATCATCGAATATAAAACATGTATGTATACATCCTTGGCACTGAAATAAAACGGATCTATGTGTTTTTTTATTAAGATATAATAAATTATATTTTTAGAAGGAATGTTCTAAAAAGAATCTATCACTTATATACTGATTCAGAATATCTAGCTTTTTAAAAAAATACGAAATCATTTCTAAATAAAATTTTATCAAAAGGGGCATCTGATATATTTTAGATTTTTTCAATAATTACTATCAAGTATTCCTATTACAGTAAAACTTCTATATAACTTAGTCCGTTATATCAAAGTTTTACTGTATGGCACTGTATGGCATTAGCATTAGAAGTAACACTAGACCTAGAACTAGAATCGTTCGGGTTTAACCGTCTTAAGAGATGTACGGCAAAACCCGATTGTTTCTAGTTCTACGTCTAGTGTTAGTTCTACTTTTAGTTCAATAAAAAGATACAACAAATTGATTTATACATCGTATGGACATGGAATAGAGCAACTCGAGGAATAACCCAAGTTGGATTCTATCTATGAGCTCTCACATTTATATTTAAATATACTGAAGTATGTTTTGTTCGTTATATCCGAAGTCCATTATATCGATGTTTAATTGAATTATACGTTTAATACATATTTTTTTTGGATTATATTTTCAATTTTTCGAAATTAAAATAGTTTTGTTAATTGTTTTATCATGCAAATGCATCTGGATTTGAATGACAATATTAAACTGATTGCTGATATTCAATTACTAGAGGCGCACGGTATTCAGCGATCCCTCTTTTTTCGCGAGGTAATGAAGCGGCAATTGGAAATCGCTGTCATTCTCTTTTATATCAAATTTCCAAAATATTGGGAATAAATTTTTTAAAACAAAGGATCGATATACTTACAACGGGAATAAGAGCCATAATCCTCATGACATAGCTTGGCAAATTTAAACATAAACAAGTCGTCGAAACCACCAATAACATCTTAGTAAATTTATATTGGGCCAAAGAAGTTGAAGATTTTTTCTTGTACTTGCTGGTCATCGTGTCTTCTTCCTTAGCAGCTGAATTTTGATTGGTTAATCGTCTTCTTACTTGAGCCATCGACCACATATGTCTGCTAATGAAACCGTTTAAAATAGCAATCCCAGTTACAGGTAAAACATATGTAACCAAGCTGTCGACTATGTTATAAATATAAGCTTCGTTATCCCATTCCGGTTGAAGACAACATCTATCTTCGCAATTTATACGTGAGATCCCAACGAATAATAAAACCGGAAAGTTTATTAACATTCCAAATAGAAGGAGGACGATTACGATGTACTTAGCTCGTTTCGTGTGCGAAATCGAACAAACTGTCTGTCGATGTAAAGGATAAACAACAGCTAAAAATCGTTCGACTGTAAAAGCAAGAACTAACCAAACCGATAAGAAACTAGTTAGAGAAGTTATATAAGTGGATGTTTCGCAAATAATAGGCAAATTGAAAATGTCAAATTCCAAATAAGGTGTTAACCAAGGTATGAATAAACATACCAAAAAGACATTATCGCTAATCGCCAGCGAAGCCAAATAATAAGAAGAGGATACTTTCCTTAATTTCGTTTTATAAAAAACCACGACTGATAAACTATTTCCAATAATTCCCAGAATACATAAAGTTGGGAAATAATACAATTGAAATTGATGAAGAAAATCAGAAACTGGTACTCCACTGTTTGTACAATTTTCTTCCGAGTCACTTGCATTAAAATTTAAACTATTACTGTTAAGAGTCTCGTTTAACTCCATTTTTAAATATTTAATTCAACACTTTTATTTTGAAAAGCACTTTCAACGCGAGTTTTATTACGGAGACGACTTCGCGTGAGCTTCTGCCTTCAGAATAGCGCTTTCGGTACAACGCCGAAAAGCAACTTCAGCGTCGTTGTATACCTGTGGATTTTCAACGCATGCTAACTGTTGCGCGATTGAACAACCACTAGAAACGTCTTTTCCATCACATAGGTATGGATTGAAATCACATCTGTTTATGACAGTTTCAAATTGTTCAAGTGAAAATAATTCGCTGAAATCTCAAAGATGTAAATTACAAGGCATTCAAGAAAACGACGGGAAATTTGAATATTTCGACGTTGATTATTTCAAGATTTGTCTTGAAATAACTTTGTGCTCTTTCTCTTTTATTAGAAAGTAATGATCCGAAAAGATGGGAGAATATAATAAAACAAAGTGGTTTATGTTTTGTATTTTTAAATTTTAAACAGATAAGATCATTAATTAAATTAATATATGAAGTTACTTATTTAAGATAACTACATAATTTTGTTAGAAATTAATTTATTTTCTAATTTTTTTAAACCGATAATAACTTATTTAATAAATTATTTGAGCAACGTTAAAGAATAAAATCTTAAAGCAAATTTTTTTAGGTTATGTTAATTTTATCAAAATCATTACCAACTCACACTTACCGTTTCGACGTCTCTGACGTTTAGACGTGCACAAACACAGCATCGCAAAAAAGAATTAGACAGCGTCGCCTCGTCACATGGTTCCTAAGAAAGATTCCAACGATTGGAAACCATATGGTAGCTATCGATAACTCAACAACATTATTGTACCAGATCGTTATCCTCTCCCGCACATTTAGGATTTTAATCTACATTTACATAATTGCAAAAATTTTTCAAAATTAGATCTGGTGGGAGCATATCGCCAAATTCCTGTAGAAGACGATTTTCCGAAAACGGCTATTTCTAGAGCTTTTGGTCTGTTCGAATTCACAAGAATGTCTTTCGGTTTACGCAATGCTGCACAAATCTTCCAAAGGTTCATAGATTTCCTTTTTGTACATCTATTATACTAGTAGCTAGTCGCAATGAAGAAGAACATTATCTTCATTTACAAAAATTATGTGAGAGGTTAAGCTCTTGCAATATAAATATTCAACCAAGAAAATGTGTTTTTGGAGTTACAGCTTTTGATTTCCTGAGTCATCATATTTTTGCAGAATTTAATGCCATAACAGAATTAACTAAAACCTACAACACTTAAACAATTACAGCGATTCACTTTATTCACAAAAACTTAAGTCAATCACTTCCTGGACACATCATCACGACACTTTTCACTACAGCCAAAGAACTTTAATCAAAATCCGTCAATCTTGCACACCCATCTCCACAAGCTATTCTTTCACTGACGACAGACGCCTCAAGTAAAGACATGGGAGCAGTTTTATCACAGACTATAAACAATAAGACTCAATCTTTAGCATTTTTTTCTCGAAAATTTTCTTAAAGCCAAATCAATTATTTAACTTTTGATAGAAATTTGTTAGTAATTTATGCGAGTATCAAATTCTGTACACATTTCTTGCATGGTAATCAATTTGTGGTTTACACTGACCGACTGATCACCACAATTTTTTTCTACCACAGAAAAAGCCCACGTCAGGCACGATATCTTAGTTATATAACTCAATACACATCCGATATCAGATACATTAAAGAAGAATCAAACATTGCAGCGGACGCGTTGTCCAGAATAAATATTGAATCTCTAAATTCACAGTACTCTGACACAAAAACTATAAGAAATGCACATCTTAATGACACAGAACTCACACACGTGCTAAACAAACAATACTCTAACACACAAGCTACTAACTATAACTTATCGCAACAAACAACATCACAATCAGATGTAAAACTTTGGTGCAACCTTTCTACAAACAATACATACCACAAAAATGTCGTAAAGCAATTTTCAACAAATTTCACAACTTAACTCATTTCTTTTGACCTCACATGACAAAACATATTCACTTATGGACAAAAACCTGTTTGCAATGTCAACAAGCAAAAGTACACAAAATCACCTATTAGCAGAATTCCGATACCGAAATTAATTTATTTAATCATATCCACATTGATTTGATCGTTCCACTTACTCCGTCGCTTGGCTGCTCATACGTGTTCACCTTTCTTTCTTTTCTCCAAAGATCTCTGTCTTTCCTCTCAAAGATTGTTTCGGCACTATTTTAGTCGATTTGGTATTCCTAGCACTACCGCCCATGATCAGGGACGACAATTCGAATCAAAACTCTTTTCAAAATTTCACAATCTCCTAGGAACGCGTCAAATTCATACATCCATCTTCCATCTCCAAAGCAACGGAATTTTCACCGTTCCTTGAAATCAGCCATCACTGCCAGAGGTTACGCTACGAGGTGGAACAACGATCCTCCCTTGATTCTCCTAGACCTCAGATCGTCTCTTAAGGAAAAGGTTGCTCATCTGCCAAACTGGTATATGGTCAACCACTTAGCCTCCCCGGAGAATTTTTTATTAATAACCAACATTCTTTAGAATCTGATCCATTGCTTTCTAACTTACGTGAAACATTCTCTTGTAAACACATCTCCAAAATATTTTGTAATTTTCAAAAACAACCAGAAATTAATTGTCAACATCGACAATCTTGAACTTAAAAGATAATAAGATAATTAATTTGAACAACATAAAAATTCGCAAAATATTTGTTTCAATTTTTAAGTATGAATTTTTTGTCCACCATATTCCACTTTTTATTCATATTTAGAGTAAGTGCACAGCATATTCTTACATGCTGTATACTTTAACCGTTTTGTTTTAATCTACCTAAACGACTAAAACATTTTCTGGGTATAGAAAAAAATCGTATAACGTTTGTGTTTAAACAGCTTGATTGGTATGGTATAGAAAATTATCTTCGTTTAGTATTTAAAGCAATCTATACTTCAATGTTATAATCTATACTTTGTTTTTTAAACTAGAAAGACTGAATACAAATGTCAGATTTACGCTAGGATATATTATAAGGTATTATAATTATGTTAAACAGGAAATCTTCAGTACATTTCAATTCTATAAATTGTGAACAATAATTAAATCTGACATCCTTTATCTAATTATCATCATCTCGTCAGTTGTGCTGGCGTCGCAGTTGCGGCATCGCTATCAACATTAATATTAATTAATAGCAGTTATATAACTGTATCAATACTTCCGTCTCATTCATTCAGTTTTATCTTCTTTATGATTATATGATTACATTTTTTACCGGAAACATTTTCAATGGTTTCCATTAAAAGCTTTCTAACATCTACCAATTTAAATGAAATGTTTTTAGAAGCCACCTCATTTTTTGCATTATAATTTCTATTTTTTTTGCGTTGGTAGCTGCGGCTTAATTTTATTTTTCTTGTTAACTCATTGTCTGCATATAAGTCATAGTTAGCTTTATGTGTTTTTATCTAACATAAGAAAATAACTCGGATCGCATCATGTTTTCTTCATACACAATATCTTTTCAACTTTATGAACATTATGGATTCAAATACATTTCTTCATGAGAACAAATTTAAAGTACTCCTCCTAGTTTAAAAACAAGATGTAGAATCAAGTAATCCAGATCATAATAAGTAGTCTACACAGACATCACAACGCCGTTTGATCGATTGGATGCTCTTTCTAATCTTCTTCCCGGATTTTCAACGATTTTCTTGATCTAATTTTATTCTATATTTCTTGTTGACGTTGCTTTGATTGCAATGTGCTAAGTTACTACAATGATCTAAAGATATTTGCTCCCCTAACTAAAGTATTTACTGAACGGATTTGGTTTTAATATAGAGTGGCACTTCATATAGTGGCACTTCGGTCAATGATAATTGATAATCATTCTCTAGAATTATATATAAGCTAAAATCCATTAATCCTTAAATTGATCTGATACTACAATACATTCACGGGTTCCGGATAATCGGCGTACTATGGTATATATACGAATTATTGATGCATAAACTACTATAATTTGATAACACCCCGTCCCTTTATTGTTGATTTAATAACTACTTTTGTAAATTACTCGAAATCTGTATAGAAAAATAAGCAAATACATACTTGTAGAAGAAGACGAGAAAAGATATTTAAAAATTAAAAAGGTACTACAATTATCTCGCATTATTTATTTAATAATGGAAGGATTTAATGTTTGTTGATGTGTTTTATTAGGAAACACGATATTTTCAAGCTTACTTTAAAGCTCTGACGCGCTTTATAAGGATAAAATTCGTAAGCCCCTCTGCATTTTTTATGAGAGTTTTTAATACGGGAGAACATTAACGTAAAAAAATATCTCTTCAAAAGCTCATTCTTTGTCTTGTAGTTTATACATTAAAAATTTAAAAAAATATCATACCATGTACAGGGCATCATTATAATTTTAAATAAAATTATTTCCAAAAAATAGGGAATAAAGTTGTAATGTACTCCGAAACTAATTAATAGTTTTTAACAAGCAAAACAAGACATAATTATTTTAATTTGATGTATTTCCAAGTTCCTATTGTTTCTTTAAAGCATATTCTGCAAACGCTGGTGTCCATTGACAAATAGTTTCGTTATAAAAACTACAACATAACCAAAAGCAATGAATTATAATGGATAATAAATAAATAACATAAAATAATAGAAATTATTGAATAACATAAATTTTTTTCATAGTCAAGTTTTAGAACAATTTTAATTAATATTTTAGGGGCTGCAGTTAGTGAAATTGAACAATTGAAATAAAAATTGAGATTGAATAAAGAATGAGTTCATTTAATGTTGTTAATGATCCAACATTAAACAACACAAACAAATAATACATTGATAATACAAACTAGCGGGAATTGTAAATTTAAAATTTAATCCATAAAGCGGACAAAGATACGTTTGAAAATATAAATACGGTGCCCTACATATACGTCTCAAAACACATTTCATGCATCAATGAAACTTATCACTTCATCGTCTGTCAATCAGAAATA